CCTGTGTTCTCCCTCTCTCCCGCCTCTGTTTTTATCAGCAATCTTGCAAGTAGAGTGGACCAATCGGCTAACCGTGAAATATGATGAATTTTCGAGAAGCTCAGATTGCTATTAGGATCTGATCAACAAAGGACATCGAAGCTGTCATTGGATCTTTAAACGAGAGTTACGAAGATATTGACTCTCGATCATACAGGAAAAGGACGAATGCATAACCTTTGGAAGCCACTTGATTGACGTTTGTTCAAATTAAAAGATATCAACGAGAACCATGTGATCAGCGATTCTTGGGCCCATATTCAAAGATCCCTGTTGGTTGCAGTCTTTTTCAATTGTCATCTTTTAAGCGTGCCGTATCTTGATCGGTTGCTTTTATTCCTCATTCATTTTGTAAATTTCTCGTTAATTCCGTTTTTCAAACTTACCACTTTTATTATTGCACAGTAAATATTACAAATGAGTAATACATATAGCAAAGAAATACGTATAGCAAATAATACGTATAGCAAAGACAACTTCCGGCCGAAAAGTTTCTACAGTGACAAATACCACGGAGATCACCGGAATGGACGGCACTGTTATGCGACTAATTTCTGTTAACATTGTGTACTGGTGAATACCATAAGATTCAGGTAGTGGTGACAGTTTTGTCTGAAGATGACCGCACCACCATACATGAGCAATGATCGCTTCATCTGGACCACTGACAAACCCGATGCGGAACTTATTGAACCTGAAGTTTTAGCATCAATTGATAAAAATTGGCTAACTTTTAGTTTACAGGTTTCTTCCTTCTTTATTCCAAATAGTAAAAGCATTCTGAGAGCTCTGAGACCTTGCGATCTCTTGTCTACAAATAAATGGACAATAAGCTTTTGAAGAACCAGAAATGAGCTAATTATAATCATCTCCTATGAAACCCTTAAAATTTTCCCATACAAGTTACAGTGCTTACATCATCTAATCGTTTTCTCTTGCACTCTTTCGAAAATTTTTATTTTAAATTTAAAACTCTCAACCTTTAAATTCGTAGTAATTTAGAAAGATTATCCTCCTCAATCTCATACTTTCACGTTGTATAATCACGGCGATCACGCTTTTGCGTTCAACATTTCAACAAGTGACAATTATGCTTATTTCGTATCACAGGTCTCTCATTCGTACAGCAAATTTATTATTAATTTGATATCAAAAATACACGTTTTTAGGGAAGTAATCACTTTTATTTGGCCGTTTGCAATATCAGAGTTAACTTTACCGTTCTTTTATAAATGTATGATATTGAACTACTAATGTTCAATTAATCACGTCCCTCCCAACATCTCCTCCAGATTTCCAGATGTCAGCTTTTCAGGTACAAGGTGTAGTATTCGGTCGTCAATTACATGCTTTACCATTTGTGCGAACCACTAATTCAACGACAATAACTGTCTATCGAAGGCCTACGAATGCTTTCAAAGTGGACGAGGACTATCCGTATATCAAAAGAACCGAATTGTCCTTTCTATCATTTATTTCTGCTTTTCATCCATTGTATTCCCTATTGTACAAAAAAGATCACAACTTTCATCCAATATTAATTTGTTACAGTCCCCGAAAAGATCGTTTATTTATTTATTTGGCACCAATTTTTCATTGGAAAACTCAGCCGACATCCGTATTTAATCACACAATGCCTTATGAAAAATTAAGAATTTGTTTGAATTATACGGCTCAGAGTACATGCGAAGGTTGTAAGTTCATAATTGAAAATTTTCGCATTTATTATTACAGTAAGTAAGTTTGTTCAAAATCTGTACCTTTTTACTTTTTTGTTTAAACATACCCATTTCATTTTGAAAAGAAAAGTCGTCTAAATTTTCAGCAACTTTTTCGTTGCAACAAAAACGTAATGGATGGAATACATGGCTTCAGAAAGCTCGACATTAATATTTTTTTAAAAAACATTTGCATGAGAATAATTCTGATTTTATTTGAAATGTATTATTAAATAGCAATTTTATAAAACTTTGCTTGCAATTATTCAGCTATTTTTTTCTGCTTCATTGCCATACGAACTGCTTTTGCTGTTGGCTTAAACACCTGGAAATACCTGAATTTAGATAGTTTTTATTAGAAGAAATTAGATAGAGTGTATAGGGCTGTTTTCGTGATCTAATACTTGAAATTCGAAATATTTGTAGAGGACTAACATTGCTGGCACTAGTCAACAGTATTGTATTGATTATCAAAAATACAAAAGAAATTGTTATAAATACGATTAGCCAGATATATTATTGTAAAATTCTACAACCCTTTTATCAGTGATATGCTTAGTTCATTACTAAACAATAATTGATAAATGTACATGAAATGAGCAACTGAGATCCTCTGCAACACTCATCGCGGCAGCTGCATTATCAAATTCGCCACAATAATGTGGTGCCGAAAATATGGTCACTAAACGACGATTGCCAAAAAATTCATATCCATCTTGTACCACCTGAATTGAATTTTGTGTAGACGCTGTTCTTTGTTTCGGACGAATCTTAAAATCTGATATTTTCGAGTTAAATAAACCTGATGTGCACGAGCAACCAAATCGATGTTTAGTTTCTCGCAAACTTCTGTCAAAACATCAACGCCAAAAACAAACGAGATACCTCGACTGTTCGGTTGCCAACCTTGCACACTTTCATCCGGATCCGACCTGTAGCTTTGCTAAAGTTTTCCACAATTTTTAAAATATTTTCCTTTAATCATGATAGCTAGTAGTGAAGAATGAACAGAATGAAGCTTTCAATTGTATTTTGACAATATGGATTATAAAATTTTCGGAATGAGCCAGAGAAGCAGCTTAAATCGGATGGATTTAAAATAATTGTTGTATCAATAATATAACTGTATAAGAGTCTTATGTTTTATAAGAAAGGAGGGTTTTGGATAGTTACCAAAGGATGTCAAGTTCCATGGAGGGCGGTTGTGGATCCGATGGACGTTCGATGTTACGCAACGAATCGAAATCAGTCAATTTTGGTGATAGACCACCATGCATGCATAGAATCTTTCCAGCTATGCAAGCAGCATATGGCAGATAATTAAATGTGTCCTGTAAAAGCGTCTATTTCCATTACTTTCAATAATTTCCAAATTTTTTCAAAAGATCTAAATTCGTAGAAATCTAAAAATCAAAAATAAAAAGATCTAAAAATTAAGTGAAACACTTTCAAACAGTCAAAATTTGAATTTTATTCTTCATTCCTTCTTTCTTTATAACTAAAATTAATACTTGAAAGACTTCCCAAAGACGAACAGAACGATAACGTCGGTTAACCTCTTCATAGAATCCATACACTCGATTAATTCTAGCACATTCATGGTTACCTGCAAACAATTATGCACTAATCCTTCTACCTTAACAAAAATATGTGAAATTTCATACCACTTCAAAATTTGCAAAAAAATTTTTTCAATGAATTAAAATTGTTTAGAAAAAAATGATATTAAATTTCTTGTTATTATGTATTGATACATTACAAAAGAAGCTAAATTGCCAACAAATAGTCTCACCAGTTTATATAATTTAAATAATGAGTGATATAGGAATAAAATTAATAATTACCTCTTAATAAGAAGAAATTCTCAGGATACTTAATTTTGAAGCAGAAGAGAAGGCACACAGTTTCAATGGATTGCTTGCCCCGATCAACATAATCACCGAGGAATAAATAATTCGCCTCCGGTGGAAAACCGCATTTGTCAAAAATTCGAAGCATATCGCTGTACTGTAATATTTCAGTAACTACTATTTTTGTTATGAAATATAACAAATTATTAATCCCATATGGAATTGTTACTTGGAAATGTCAGCTTTCGCATATTCTTATTTCTTAATTAAATATGTGTTAAATACATTTATTACATATACCTATGTTTAATTCTTTTCAGGATAACACTTGGCTTAGAACAATTTAAAGACATTATGGATGTGCTTTCCCCTAAATTTCACTTATCTCTCTCGAATCATTTGGTATTATGGCCACCGGTAAATTGTTTTTAAACTGTCCAGTGGTCATCATTTACTGAATTATTGAGTACATGCATTCAGAGATACTGCTATTACTTATTGCAATCAATAATTTGCTACATTTCAAAGGTTATTCAATGATATATTCAAATGCTGATAATACAATCGTTATATTTTTAAATATCTATTGGATATTTGACGTTCTATTGAAATTGGGTAAACAAAATTAATGGCAAAGAGGTAATAAGTCAAAATGATAAACTAAATTCAGCTAAATTTTAGTGCCAAATGATGGTTTAAATGATAAAAGAAAAATATGAATATTTAAGTTTTCTATCAAAATTTTTCTTTACAACTGAATCGCTGATTCATTAAAGTTGCTATCATTCATTATCCTTTCCTCCTAGATAAACAAGAAGAAAGCAAGATTTCTAATTATCGAATTTACTATGATATTTGGTTGGATGAAGTGTTCAAGAAAAATTTTACAAGAGAAGTTGAAACCTGTCCATGTATGTCACCACAAACAATCACGGGTGCATCAATTTCAGTAAAGGTACTTTGACTTTGTAATACTGCTTTGGTTTCTTGAAGTAGTATTATCAGTTCTTCTTCCTTTACCTGCAAAAACAATCATAATTAAGCTCATTTTCGATTTTAATCATTTAAAGAATATGAAAGAAGAAGAAGACTGAAAGATATATGAAAAAAGAGTGTGGAAGAAGAAAGAAATGTAAATAAGTATAGCAAATATCATTTCATTGCTCATTTTGTTTTTTTAATTCTTTAGTGAATATATTTTTTCTCAACAAAATCCAATTCGACGATACTCTCAAAAATCTTATGCAAAAAGTCAAAAAAATTCGAAAGATTTGAACTACCGATAAATTCAATTAATGAGTGAATTAAAAGGTGTAATTTTGACAGATAACCCTTGGGCCTAAATAAAAAAGGTCGATGCCAAGTTGGTGTCATGATCCATGACTGTATCATTATAATAGCCAGGTAATTTCAGAAATTCTTAATGGCCATAAAATTGAAACGAACAATCCTTCTCAGATGCATTCCCTTCTGTGAGCCAGCATTTAGTAAGCGAATACTTAAATCATGAATATGTGATATTCGTGATTTAGTTTTCCCATCGGCTTTTGTCGCTTTATTTTGCTGAAAAAGATTTGAGACGAAGGAATACTTCGAGAAAAGAGAATGGAATGTGAATTTTGTAAAAAATACAAAACGGATGTCTTTTACTTCTTCACATAATATTATGCGGTATTTACAGATTCATTATCACTGCCTTTATCTTTTTCCATGAAGCAATAAACTGATCGGTCATTCACAAAGGACTAAAACACCACTCACTAATGTTACTAAACTGTGAAATAAATCGTTCTTTCAATTCTTCGCTCTTTCAATTGTTTTACGGAAAATTTACATTTGCATATGTTAGTAATTGTACGCGAATAAAAGTTAGGCAAAAGAGTAATTTTAGATAGATTTGACCCTATGAACCTCTACTCGTAAAAAAATCGAATCCAAAATTTACAGCTCGATTTTTGTTCAATTTGATAATTGCGCTTCCTTTTGAATTCATGGAGCGAAAATGTATTGACTGTTTAAGCACATCTGCATGACTCACAAAAGCTCCATTTTAAAATAGCATGTAGAAGCATTTTATTGTCACTAAATTTAATATTCAACAATGAACAGATAAGTGAGGTGGAAAAATTCATAACAAAATTTACAATAAACAAACTGATCACAACTTTCATTGCAACTGATCATGAAAGTAATCGTCATTGCCGAACTGAAATATTTTGAAACTCAACGCAGAAAACATTCTGAATTTCAACATTTCAAATTAGAAACAATGAGAATAAAAGTCATCTTCCATTCCCATACTAAACTTTTTTCCTTTTCTATTGATACCATTTTCACTGTTATGTTTGCAACATTTGACAGTTTATGTATGATATGAAATTTGAACGAATATATAAAAAAAGTTTTCTGAATAAATAATTATTCATACTATAAATTGCATAAAATGTATA